AGAATTGGCGGCAATTCATGAGTTTTCAGTGGCTGTGAGACGGAAATTTCAGAACTTGATTGAATTTTCAATTTTTTCCATAATTTTCCTGATTTTTCCGAATTTTCACAGAATAATTGAACTGAAAAATCAAATATTTCATTGATTTCTAGATCATTTGGAATATTTGATTTTTCAATGACAAGATTTCCTGAAAATTCAGACAAAAATTTTTAACACTGCGGTGGCAATATATTTTTGGTAATAAATTCGCTATTTGCTTCCGAATAAAATTTCCGTAATGATGTTTCAAAATGAATTTCAATTTTATAATTTTTCATCTTTCCCTGATGGTTCAAATAACTATTGGCGTCTCCCCTAGATGCGCTGTTGACCCTTAGAATCACTTTGAAAATATCATAATCCCCTTCCTCGCCTTCATTTATTTAACAACATTTACAATTTCTTCAACAATCGAATTGACAACTTTGGGATCACGTCTGTGTCGAGAGTTCGTCCGACATTCGGCGCCCAACTCTGGCTTTCGAATCTCAGTCTGCGTTTGTGGAAAAAAACACAGAGTTCAATCTGGATAGGCTTGACAATGTTATAATCCCCCTTCCTCGCCTTCCATTTATTTAAAACCGTTTACAACTTGTTTAACGATTAAATTGACAACTTTGGGATCAAGTCTGGGTCCAGAGTTCGTCCGGCATTCGGCCGAAAAATGATATGAGCCCAAAATTCTTCGAAACAGATAAAAAATTTTAAATTGAAAACTCGTTTTTTCCTTCAGCGATTGGTTTTCTGTGAGAAAACAATGGATTCCCGCCCGCCCACCGCGCCATAAATACCTCGAGAACTACTCGCGCCTCACCCAACCTCACCAAAACAAATTACCCCGAGTCATTTGAGATAATGAAATCACCATTTCGCATTGACCCCAGAATGTTCAAAAACTGGCGAAACAAAAACGAAGGGAAAAAAATCATCGTCCTCTTTCGCCTCCGCCGATAACCGTTCACGGGAGAACCGTTAGCGCGTCGTCGTTCGGCAGTGGCTCCCGCAGGCCTCCCTGTTGTATTACATTGAGATCGATCGGCGTCTGACCTCGTACCCATCAATAACATCCAATCTTCACCTTTGTACTAATATAATCTACATGGATGATGAACAATGTCTCAGTGGAGCATGGGGAATTGTTCATTAACATTTAACATGACCCGATGCCCGAATGTGTGCAACTGTCATTGAAATGCAGGCCGAGCTGTCTCGGGAAAGAATACGACCGCCGGCGTCTCGCCGGGCATCACAATGTCGTGTAACTGTAATCAGTGTACATAACATTGTGTGACCTCCTAATTTCATAAATTATGGATCTCAGTTTTTTTAAGGGGACATGTTTATGGGTTCACTATGACCGTTTATCTTGGGGAAATGTTTATACTGCTGCGTCATCTGGCAAAGTTGTAGAGAATTACAGATTTTTCTAGAAAATTCGAGAAAATTCACCGGTTTTCAATCTTTTGTGTTGGAGTAAATCAATATGGTCTAAACAGTCCGAATATGCGACTTTTAGGTGGTGTCTGTATGTATGTAAATTGTCTCATGATTTTGATGACATTTCAATTGATGATAGTACTATGACATGGAAAAATAGAAGAAGACAATAGTGAAATAAGAATTGAAAAAAGAGAACCCCTTCGGACGCAAATTGCTAATTTATTAGCAACATTAAATATGCTCATTTATAAAAAATTCAATTTTCGAGGTTTTTCGAAAATAATCTTGAATCCTCCTGAAAATTCAAATGACGACAAGAATCTTGCATACTACAGCAATCACTGTAGAAACTTCTGAAAAAATCTAAAAATTTAGTGAGTTTTGGAAAAATCAAAGGAAGAATTTTCTGCGCTGCAAAAAATTTCGAGCTTTCCCAAAAAAATACTGAGGCAATCCGGGAGTTTTATAAAAAAAAATCCACAGCTACAGCCACCTGCAAATTTTTCAGTCGACCAGAGAAAAAAGGTCATAAATAATGAAGACTGTGAAAATAATATTTTTAATTCCACAGATGTTTCCTAGTTCTGTATCTGGAGGAGAAAATAATTCTCCAGCAATTACGTAATTTTTGACATTTCAAATGTAGCGTTATTTCAATCAACATTATTGCTTGAGGAAGTTGAAAATTATGGTAATGATCGTTTCAACTGACAAGATAACGTGTTCGCAAAAATTAGCAACGGTAATAATCGTAATCATGCCGTTTAAAAGAGAAATAATCATTTCAATAGGTTGACTTTTTCACTATTCAAAAATGCATTCAAACAAATTACAGAATTGTCCTTGCAAAATTAGTCTACGAAAAATGTCAACTTGATTTTAATTTTTCTTTCACGACTACAGACTTACCATAAGCCACACACGGCCATCAGCACCAAGAACGGGTTTTACTAGTGGTGTTTCTCGGCAAAAAAAGCTCCTAGACTATATAACCTCGGTTACATTCTGCGTGCATCCTTGGTTGCCTCAGAGAAGGTGGATACTGCCTATTTTGAACTAACCCGAGTTCGTACGTCCGTCTTAACCGAAGATTGCTAACCCCATCACAAACGGAAACGAGTTTGCTATGGGTGTATATATGGCGTGTGGGTATGAGCAACAAACAGTACACAGCGTAACGTAAGAACCGATCGTTTGTGTGACTACCACCTGGGGTCGATGTCCTATCTCAACGAAATTATTGCGGAATTCATCTTGTGGGATGAAAATGTAGATTTATTTCCCTAGGATCAATAAGAGAGCCAATTCTCACCTCAATTCGTTCGGTTTTCGGTACTTGGGACATAAAATATTGGATATTAGACGGCGATAAGAGTATTTTTTTGGCTCATTTGATTATAATTGATTAATGTTCAATGATTAATTGATTATTGATTATAAATGATTATAAACACATTTATCAGAAAATACTTTTATCGTCCTTGTGACATAATGTACTGTTATATCACCGAGGGAGTCAAAAAATTTTTTTCAGACAAGCGACAAAGCTGATTTTTCTGTCTTCTCAGCACAAAATTATATTAAATTCATTTTGTGGAATGAAAATGGATATTTATGTGCCTAGGACCAGTAAACCGCAAATTTTAACCTCAATTCGTTCACTTAGAATGTGGTTTTTGATCTTTGGAACATAAAGTATTGTATATACACGGCCATAAAAGTATTTTCTGACTCATGTGATTATAATCTTGACCTTCGGCTAGGATTATAAAGTCACATTCGTCAGAAAATATTTTTGATGTCCGTGTGACATAATTACTATTTCATCGCCAGGTCGGAATAAACTTTTCGGACCGAGAGAGCCAGAAAATTTTTTTCAGATGACTTTTTATGTTTTATCAGACCGGAATTATTGCTGAATTCATTTTGTGGAATGAAAATGTATATTTATGTGCCTAGGACCAATAAACCGCAAATTCTAACCTCAACTCGTTCGGTTAAAATGCTGTCATCAGTCCTTGGAATATAAAATATTACATGGCGTTAAAAGTATTTTCTGCCTCGTGTGTGATTATAATCTTTACATTCCTCAGAAAATAGTTTTATCGTCCTTGTGACATAACGCGCCATTTCATCACAAGGCCGAAAAAAACTTCTCGTTCATTTCTATTATTGCAATTTTTCATAATCTTCGATCTTTTTCACCGGTAAGACTCCATTAAAAATCCAAAACAAAATTTCTATTTAATGTTCCCACCGTCACTGAAAAACATTAAAAATTGTTTGTAATGCTGATCCAAACGTCTCGTGGAATCTTGCAATGACAAGTGGAATGCAACGTATGATCATAATCAGACATTTGTCTGCTGTGGAATTCGTTCGACAGCAATAGTCATTCAATCGTACATTAATTAGCAATGCCACGTAGGAAGTGGATGAGAACGCTCGATCAAAACGTTTAGTGATCATGAAAAATAATCTGAAAATCTGCGGGGAAAGGTGGAGGTTGTACACGTCCTCGGGAATCAGTTAGTGGAAATTTTTCATGGCTATAATGTCACGTCATTTTCCCCGCATTCGATCATTCGTGTTCATCGGACTCGAGGATGGCGAAGGAGAACGAACTCTGTCGCGATAAACATCCGTTCGGGCCAATTATAATCCAGCGAAATGCGCGAGAGACCAGTCTAATAATCAATGACTTGCACGTGAGCCCCTTTGTGATGGTGAGGTGACCATCTGCTGGATTGTTGAACACGCGTGCCTGATGCTTCCTTTCCGTTTTGTAGTGCTTGTCGTTTATGCTTGAGTTTCTGTAACGTACAGAATTTTCCGACGGATGTGTTATTCCTGCCCTAGAGGTATTAATACTCCATTTTTATGGGGGATATTAATACTGCGAATATGGACATTGTGGAGAGAATAATTTACCCTCGAGACATATAAATGTCTCACGAGAACAATTACTCCTACGAAAATTATCATGTTTTGGTGAAAACTTTCTTTTTTGTCCCAAAGTAAATTGAACCAACACGCCGAAGGATCTCTTCACGGCTGTTTATTCATTCGCATTCATAAATCGTAATCAACTACGACTAGAATAATTTTTCCGTTCCGAATCCGAAGTCATAAAAAACGAATGCACTTTTTCCAAACAGCATAGATGAAGAAAAAAGCCTGAAGAACATCCAATTCCTGTAATAAAGGCCATTATGCAATGTTTTCGATTGCTTTCCTCTCTCTTCATCGCGCTCGGTCGTTTGCGGGATAAAAAATTGCGTCAGGCAAGGGGGGCTATTGTGGATGGCTTACGCAATTCGATCGTCTGGGCTTTACGCAAGCCGAAGTCTCTCGGTCGCTGCCTCAATTTTGATGTTTCTCCTCTTTCACCTAAAGCGGACAGAGACAAATAACAACCAACCTTGTACTTTTAACTCATTCCCACATTTGCATCGAACATTTAATCCCAATTATTCTAATTGTCTTCCGTTTCGTTTGTTTTTTTTTTCTTTCTTTAGAAAGGCGGCGCGAGAATGATCGAGCCCGTGTTGCCTTCACACTTGGCAGAGCCAGACAGCAATAAAAAATCAGGTGTTACCAACGAGTTAGTTATTGATACTGCACTGATAACTGGAAATGACAATGACGAGCGTCGCTGTAGGGCCGGCTAGCCTCGGTGCGCCCCCTACCATGCTTACACCAAAGAGGTACCATTATCAGCAGGGTATGACGCCCAACTCAGCCTCACCCACTCCCACAAAGGTAGAAACATTTTTTTTTCAAGTTTATTCTATAATTTTTTATCTTTCGGTGATATTTCACGTGATTTCACCCTCGACGTCGGTTCGGGGAAGGTCACATGTGAACACTGTTAGAGATTTCTTGAAATTTCAGCCACAGCTTCATCTGAATTCTCAATATTATGAGTTTAAGTTAATTTTAAATGAAAATGTTCATGAAATTTCTCATTCATCTTCAACATTCGAGAAAATTGGATTTTCATGTCAAGTTTCATTGATACTTCAATGAAAGCTTGAATTGTCAAAATCATTGTGAAAATTGAACATCAAATGGAATTGAATTTTTAACAGATTGAGAAAATTTTCTCCTGAATTTTCCCAATTTTTTCGGTGCCGCATGGACCTGAAAATCGAGAATTACTGGAATATCCAAGAAACTAACGAATTCGTCAATGAAAAAATATACAGAAATTTCATGTAACTCTGTCTTTGTTAAAAATTTCAAGTTTTTTCGCTTGAAGTTTCAAGAATAATTTTCTAATCGTGAAAGATGTAAAAAATGAAAGGCCCCCGACGAAAAAGTTGTTCTTGAATTATAAAAAAATTGCTAAATAGATAAAAGTCTTGTTTGGGGATAAACGCGATTCTTTTTTTCGAAATTCCGCGCGAGATTTCCCTGTGTTCACGGACCCCCACTTTCAACCTTCAATCTCGTCAAGCTCTCAAGCAAGAATAATTGTTCTCGATGTGAAATAATTTCATTTTCGTTGAAATCATCGGAGCAAAAACGAAAGTATTCTTTTGAAATCCACAGAGCGGCCAAATCCAGTTTATTAAGCACACAGAAGTTGTAATAAACCGTCCACCTTTGTCTCATTACTTCAGATCGTATTATCACACGGTAGGAGACACGAAAAACTGGTTCTCATTTGTTGGAATTAAAAAATGCCCTGTCGTCGAGTCAGAAACTGAAGTATCTCACGAAGGACGTACTGTCGTTTCGAGAAGCCGTTTTTCAGTTTACCGTATATATTTCATGATTGCAAGCTGTCTGATCACGCTATTCCTCATGATTATTGGAAAATTCTAGTTCTCAATTACTTCAATTCGCTTCCGAATGAGTTCTCTTTTTAAAAATTCTCATTTCACTATTCTCTTCTCTTATTTTTTCATGTCATAGTACTATCATCAATTGGAATGTCATCAAAATTTAGCGTATTATTTCGTTCTGTCAAATAATTCTACATTCAGACCCTCTCAAGACTCGAATTCGTTTTCAGTCCGGGTTTAATCGAGGTTCAATCAAGGTTTAATCAGTGTACAGCCGGGATTTAATCAGGGGTTATTCAGGATTTAGCCAGAGTTTAACCCAGGTTCTGCCAGAAGTTAGTCGGGACCATGAATCAATATGAATAAGTATTCAACGTAACAGACTGGTACCTGAGTTCAATAGAGATAGAGATTTTGATATAAAAAGCTCATAGCGGTATTGTGTAACTTGATAAGCAATAATGCTGTTCTCACCATTTTTCAACTTGATTAAGAAGCCGTTGAAATATACTTTTCAAGCCCTGACTTAATTGCTATTACTGCTGATTCTTCCAGCAATCATGAAAAAACAGATTTTCTCTTTCAAATCGCATAAACAATGTGCTGTAATTAAACGACGAATTGTGCGACCCCCATCATATTCTGATAGAATCAGGAGGGTATTGTTATCAATTTTTTGACCCATGACTAATTCCATTCTGGTGACAATCTTTTGAGTGATCGTTGAAAAATCGATTTTTCAAAAAATATTTATTTTCTCGAAACTATGAAAAATTGAATTTTAATTGGTGTCAAGGAATAGAGATTATTGAAGTCTATATGCATGAAAAATTCATGAAATTCGCTTGATCCTTCATAAGAAAATTTCGCGAAAAAAGTGAAATTGTTAGTTTCCTTCACACAAAAAAATTAGAAACTTGAATTTGAGCTATTGCAAAGCTCCCATTCGGAAGCCAAAAGATCAAAAAAGATAGTTCAGCCCGTTCCTCATCGCAAAGAAAAAAGGTGAAATTCCGATTTCATAAAGAAACGAGTCTCTCAACTTGAATATTCAATTAATGGAAATACCGATGTGGTATTGAAGATAAGACAACTCATATTTTCTCAAATGACTTTCTGTCGTCGCGAAGTGCGTCGAGTTTTACCGTATGACATGGTACGAGATCGCGACATTCTCCTAGGTCCCATTCACGGAAGCTTGATATTTGATTCAATCTTAAACCTCCTCTCCCGCCTTCTCCTATCGCTCGGCAATTCAACGCGACAGAAATTTTTTCGCATTCCGATTGCTCCATAAAAACCGAAAACGAGAGAGAAAAATAACCTCGACTCCCACGATTTCGTCTGTGGGCATGCGCAGAGGCGAGTCGGCCCGTGCGCATGCGCCCGTGCAGTCCGCGCTCATAGTCCGTTGGAGCCGGCGAATGAAGCTCGAAGAGAAGGAAAAGGGGAAAATAGGAGGGAAAAAAATGATGAAAAAAAGGAGAATAGAATCGGTCGGATACCTTCGTGTATATTGCCCTGTGCTTGGGGCTTATACGCAAGTTGTAACGCGCGTTCTTACCTTGTGTAGTTACGTCGTGCCATGGCTATGTTGTGCAACGAGCGTACAGCACGCTAACACGAGCAGCCACCGTGACCCCTCCTCAGGAGGGATGCTTTGAGCACATGCACGATAATGTGACATTTTGCTGCACGAAATGAGGAAATTCCATTTCCTTGTTTGAGAGCTTGATGGGATTCAAGGTTCTCAATGATGTCGGTAAAAGGATCGACAAATTTTTGTCGCTTTGCGATGATTCATGAAATTGAAATTCAGCAAAAAATAACCTTTTAGTAAAAAAATATTATTCGATACGGCCTAAAAAAAATTTATAGCTTATATCATCACAACTGCAACCTCATATTCGCCGGACAATTTTTTTTCGGTATTATGACGAAATCCACTATTGCGGATGATATTAAAAATATCTAGAAACAACTGGAAAATTTCTCTTTTATTGCATACAGTATAGCTATTTTTGCTAATAAATTATCAATGTACTTCCGAATGATTATTTTGCACATCATTTCCTTCTATCATGTATAATTCATTGTTTATTTTATTTTATTAAATCGAATAAGATTTCTTTTCGACTAATTTTGTCAGATTTTCAACTTAGTTGAATGTTATCATCATCATTATTCTTATTATCCCTTTCTTCCGTACAACCGATTGCCATTCACTAGCGATCACTAAAGAACTTGAAGTTTAACGATTACAACGCGTCCATTCGGAAGTAAATTTCTAATTTATTAGCAAGAATTACTACACTAATTTATTTTAAAAATGCCATTGTCTCCTCGTTTGATGCAATAAATGATAGACTTTGCAGTTTCGGCACAGATTACCCTCGCGTTTAGTAAATTTCCCCGAGTCAGCGGCGCAAAATTTGCTATTCGTTCCGCGCTTCTCGCCCCGATATGAATTCCACTCCCCGCTCACTTGACTCGTTTGCTATTCCTCCAACTTTATTCTCCGTGAATGACTCGCTAATCAATTTCCCGTCATCCCCACGTCAAACAAAAGAGATAAACGGACGCGGCAGGTCGTATTTATTCTTTATTTATCCATTATTCCCGCAATTAACATTGTCTTCACAGTTTTATGGGCTCATTAGTACCCAATATTTATTAATATTCATTCACTTCCGTATTCATAATGTTCATTTGTGCCTAACGTCCTGCGGAGTACAGCCTAACCGAGACTCCTAGGGGCCAACGTGCCCATAACGATTCCTCGTTATGTTTTAATGCGTTCCACGTAATCAGTACGCTCGCTCTAACAGAAACGAGTGAAAATAGTAGAATAAAAAGTAGAAATAAAAAGAATGCAACAAAGGTATCTCATGGGTATTACGGTTGCTGTGCAGGTGGTGCTGGAGGTAATTCGAATAGGAGCACTTCTTTGATACCCATTGGCCGTGAAAAACACAGTCCGAGTTAACCTGGGTTGTAATTTTAAATCAAGTGGAACTCATTGAGAGTATCAATTAGATTGAATGAGACGGCCACTTTCCCCGCATTCACAGGGCATCTCAAACTTGTCGATTCAGTTTTTTTTTTTTTGTAAACATTTTTTTCAATTATTATTTTCTTGGAACAACGTGTGATCGCGCTAATTGGCATAATAACGTAGTCAGTTACAAGAATAATTTCCGTTTTAATCTGTATAACCTGTAGAGTGTTAAAATAAAGAAAATTGACTGAATTTTCTGGACAAAGATCTTGGATTCGATTTAAGGAGAAAAAGTCAATGGAATTTCAAGTTCTCTGGAAATTCAAGTAAAATCCCAATTTTTTATCGACAGGAAGACGGAAATCCCATAATTTGTATGAATTTTTGAGTGACAATGATTTTTTTGCCAAATTCCCTTGAATTTCAGGGAATTCCATTAAAATTCTTGGAATTCCAGGAATGTTCTGAAAATTTTGAGGAATCAGGCATTTCAGGAGAAATTTCTCTGAATTTTCCTGATTTTTCATCAATTTTCCCGGAATAATTGAACTGAAATTTACAGTTCCTTTGGATTTTTCCATGAAATTATGATTTTCAATGACAAAATTCCTTAAAATTACTTGAATGTGAAATTTTCTCAAAAATTGAAACAATTGAAAGACACAAACTTCTTTTTGTCGATTGTGAAATTCCATTAAAATTCCTGAAATTCCAGGAATTTTGAAGGGATTCCCTGAAAATTCCTCGAGAAATTTCTTGGAATTTTCCTGACTTTTCTCTAATTTTCACTAATTTAAAATTGACAGTTCCCCCGGATTTTCCCCTGAAATTATAATTTTCAATACCAAAATGCTTCGAAATTTCACTGTATAATCTCCATATAATTTTAAGATTCCGCATCAACTCGAATGCGACATTTTCTCAATACCGAAACAATTGCGAGGAATAAACTTCTTTTTGCCGACGGTAGACGCGCATTCAGGTAAAAATGAGACGCACTCATCCCAGGAAAAGAGCACCACAGAACTGCTTCATTTTTTTACTCTCTTCCTCGAGGAATTTAGCTTTCCCCTGAATTCGTTCTTGTTAATACGAATAATGAATCCTTAAATAGTGTGGGTATGGGTATTATTCTGGAGGGGGTGGGAGCTCTTGAGTGCCCCGGATGACTTTCGCAGAGCGACGAATTAGCTCCGCGTCTCACCTGCTGTAGATTCACGCGTTTTATTCATGGAACAATGGGCGGGCCTCTTTGCACTTCCGGTTTCTACGTTAACGCGTTGAAATAATATTTTACGTCTTCCTCAATTCCTGATGGAATGGGGTATGAATAGCATTCTTCGAAAGGTGCTGTGGGTGGAGATAATTTTTTTTTCTATTTTCTTCCATTATATTTCCCTGCAGTTCAATGCTTTGCTCTCCTTTTTACAACTTAAGATGGGTATTGTAGTTTATGACATGAGTTTCAGGGGAAAATAGAGAGTGAAAAAAGCAAACATAGAAGTTTTTTGAGACTGACAAAAAATTAAATTTTAGATTTCCCTGAAAAATTGATGAAATTTCACATTTTTTGCAAAAAAATCACGAGAATTCTCTGATTTTATTGAATTTCCTATGAAAACATGAAGGTTCTGTATTAAATTACACGAAATTATCAACTAATTGAAATTTACCCAAGTTTTTCAGATTTCTGTTCATTTTTAAGGAATAGTTGAGCTGAAATTTTACATTTTCATTGATTTTCACATGAAATTTCGATTTTCCAATGACGGAATTCCTTGAAATTTCAGTGGAACCATCACGTGATAAAAATTTGCAAGAAATATAACGGAAATTGCAGGCAAAAATTTTTAACAGTGATTATTTATATTTATGAATAAAAAAATCGATATTTTTGAATGTTTTCACAAACTTCGACCCCATCCCACCTGTTTTGACCCTCCACAACCTCGAAAAATCTCAGTTTGGTTTTACCACTTTTTTTCACCTGCAACTCATATTAAAACCTTCAACAATTGTCTCTTCAACGACCGACGACTGCCCAATTTCACTGCGGTCTCCCCTTGAAATAACAGAAGTGAATTGAGCCTCTCAGAAAAACGAAAAAAAAACGAAATAACCAACAAAGCTGGATGGAGCGCATTTTTACGTTCTCGATCCTCGGTGTGAAAGTGAGCATTGGACGTTGGGTGTACCCGGCAGCATTCACGAATGTCCCATTTTCCGGCATGTCTCCGAGATGTTTCTTTCCATGCTATCATTCCATTCACCGTGACGTACGTCCTTTTCTTCCACCTGTTTTTTATTTCACTTCTCTTATATTTTTTTTACAACTACCGAAATCCAGTGGCTTCGTTAATGCGTCCTCGCGATGCCCTCGGGCATACTTCCGGCACGAGAACGTGTCACGACCTTCTTCGGAGAGTGGTATTGGCCAGAGTTGAAATTTCATTATCTTTGTTGTTCTGTTTATCCTTTTGTGTCCCTCCTCCCCTCTCGCCCATGTTAAGTACTATCAAATACGTTAATTGGGTCAAGCCAAGGATTATTTTCTTACAAAAAAAAAAAAAATCCTTTTCATAATGTTCTTCTTCTTTGTCTATCCTTTTTGTGTCCCTTCTCACCTTTTACTAACGTTAAGCACTATCCAATACAATAATTGGGTCAAGTAAAAAATAATTGTCCTATTAAAAAAAAAAAAAAAGTTATTGTATTGATATTATTGTTAGACTTCGACAAAGTGCAAAATTGTTGGAAAAATAATCCTGACCCTCGGAGGAAGGGGATTGCAAGTGATATAATAGGAAAGACAGAAATTCCTCGTCTAGATCTTAAACGACGAGTTATTCTTGAATAAATAAAAATCTTAATTAGAAGAATTATTTTCCCCTGTATTTAAAATGAAATAATTCTTATATCTTGCTCAACATCCGCTATTACTCATTCGATTTTCACAACAAAGCACACGAGGATCAGCGATTCAATCACGATAAAGCCTGATACATTGAAAAAATTAATTTCTAAATGAGCAAAAATTTTCCTGCGGAAACGATTTCACTTCACCCCAGCCGCGAGTTACTTCAAAGCCAGAACAGGGTAAATCCTGCATCTTTGAGTTGATAATTGCATGCCGGTGCATATTGTGATAGAATGAAGCGGTGATTATTCATTTGACTGTCCAAAATAATGAGCTAGAGTTGTCATTGGGACATAGACAGTCATCACCCGTGAAATTCATCTTCACAATGAAAGTAAAAAAAAAACATGATTGAAATATTCAATCGAAAGCCTAATTTATTCTGCTATTAGTCGGCGGTCTTATCATAATCGTGAATTTCGTCTAATTCTTAATTACTTCCTAATTTATTGAGTCTTTACAATGAAAGTGAAGAAAAAAAAACATTATTGAAATATTTAGTGATGAGTCTAATGTCGTCAAACAAAATTGCGGAATTCATTTTATATTCAATTATTGGAATGGAAATTCAAAGCCAGATGTTGTTAATAAATATTCTCCACAATTATGAAATAGTGTATTTCGATACGAGTGCGGAAAAGTGGTTTTTTACGTGTGGGAGGTGTGCTGCGCTCGTCGAAGACGAGTGCTGCCCTCCCACGGGTTAAAGAATACTTTTCCCACGAGTGTCGGACGCTCTTTTTCATCACAATGCGTATGAAGTGGGGCTTTGCGTGCGTAAAATGTCACTTTACCCACAGCGTGATGAAATAAGCTATTTATTATGCCCACTGTTTAATTCCGCTAATTTTTTATCGATTAATTGTGAAGAATTTTCCATGTGATGAATTGTCCGAGTGATGGAATGTCCGTATGATGAGTTGTCCATGTGATAATTTTCAGTGATGAAGTGGCCAGTAACATCACAATACCGTGTTGGATGAGTTTCAACGGAGTATCACCCACCGCATATCCCTCTGCTCCATTGCGGTCATAGACTCTCATTGCACACCACTTTTGGGAAAAATAATACGATTTAGAGAGGCTATGAAGCACATGGTTATCGTCAGCCATGCATCTTCCACTAGTGGCAGGAGTACAACCCGTATAGACTCGAAAGTCATGGAAACATATATTCCAATCCTGAACACGCAGCTGAAGACTCGGTTTTTCCTCGTAATGACGGATTCACATGGGACTTGTGAGGTCTCTCGGGTCGCATGAAAGTATATACCATGTCCATTCGTGAATATAATCTAATAGGGGCCCTCGTGAATTATCCAACAGTACGTAATGGATCGTTTCGGAATGAGTGCTGGGTTTTCTCGGTAAATGTCTTGTTTATGTGCTTGCTCATCCTCCTCCTCCTCCCCCTCCTCCCCCCACTGAGGGACAGCCTTTCAGATTGATTGTGTTTTCGTTCTGACATTTAAAGTGTCTTTCGAGAGGGGGAAGTGAGAGTCTAAGCGCGGAGTTCCTGTTTTATAATAGACGGGTTAATTGTTTTATCTCTTATAGGTTTTCGGGATTTTTGGGAGGAAGACGTGACGGTCACAGTCATTACGCGGCATTTTGGAATGTAGGCGACGACATTTCGGGGGAGACATTGTTCCAGGTGTAGGCGGAGCCCAATGTCGTACTGAGTTACTCAATTGATTTTCAATGTTTTAGAGAATTTATTGTGTGACGGTTTTCCGGTGGACTTTTACGTGTTAAGATCGCACACCTCCACATTTAAGTTTAAGTTTAAATAAAATAACTCAACAAGTGGGAAATTGCTGTTGTATTGCATATAGTATAGTTATTTTTGCTGACAAATTAGCCTCCGGATGATTATTTTACGCATCATTTTCTTCTGTCATGTGTAATTTATTGTTTATTTAATTGTATTAAATTAAATAAGATTTCTTTTCAACAAATTTTGTTAGATTTTCAAGTTAGTTGAATGTTATCATCATCATTATTCTTATTATCCCTTTCTTCTATACAACCGATTGTCTTTTTACGGTTCCATCTCTCCCCTCAACCCTTCGATAAAATGTTGATAGAAAAATTTTATTTACACATACTTGAATGATTTTGAAACATCACATTTGAAGAAACCATCAGAAAGCTCACTTTCAGGGAAATTCATGAAAAATTCGAAATTTTCAAATAAATCAAAATCATCAAAATCGATTATTGCTATCGCCTTCATCTTCGAACTCTGTCAAAAAGACATCCAAACAAATTTTTTAAGCCATCATTCAATCAATTCAGAATATTTTTTTAGTTATCGCGGGACAACCGATTTTCGAAAAAATTCGAAAATTACAAAAACTAATCGATGAATTAAATTTTAATGAAAGGCTATCGATAGGGCGCAACAATACTTACATTTGAAAAAAAAAAAAAGATTCAATTCCGTCCAGTCATTAGCGAACAACTGGGTCCATTCGGAAGCAAAAATAATAAAAAACTATTCAATCACTTTTCTGACCAAAATATGCATTCAATGTTGCAGAATTACGAGACCCTGAGTAAAGGAAAGAAATCGTGGAGCGTTCGGCTGGGTCTCTCCCGTCAGAACCAAGCCTCCGAGGATTTGAACACCAAGGGTTGGGGTACAATAAGCGGTGGCAGTGCCTTGTCCCGTCAGATGTTGTATGGTGAGCCATGGCTCTACGGTACTGTGCGTGGTGCACGAGGTGGACTGGAGACCCGCGGTTTTCTCACACCTCCACCGCCACCACCACCCGGTGCACCAGTCCTGGTCGTGTGCTCCTGCCCCGAGTTTCTCAGCGGTACAACAAGGAAACTTGGTAATTGCCGAAAATGCGGGGGACACAGACTCGCTGGTATTCCACTGGGCGGAACGTGTCGCATACCCGGGAGTTCAGCCAGGGCCAGACCTAGTCTTGCTGGTAATTCAGTCAATTTTTTAGAGAGGATAGAACAGATCAAGAGTATTTTTTGCGCGAAATAAAACAGATTCCGAACATTTTTTCCGAGGAAGCGATTTTTGAAAAATGGAATTTTCAACAATAAAAAATTATTGCTCAGAAATTTTGCTTCAAAAAGAGTTCCTAACTCGAACGAAGTACTTGGGTATCCTTAATTAAATTTAATTGAGGTGAATGCATGTTCTCGATAGCTCGTTGGCATAACAAATTGCCTGGAGAATTCATGAGGATTTGTTGATGTTTGGAGAAAAAATAAAAGATTCATTGGTTTATCGGAAGAAGGGAAAATAAATCATGAATAATTCATGGGAGGTAATGGAAAGCCGGGGGAGATTTGCGAGTTTATTTGATTGAAAGAATTTCTTACTTTCGTTGGATCCTGGGAAATGTAAACAAGCTGTGAATTGAACTTTAATACCGTGTTGTATAAGTGTGAATTCAATTGCAGATTTTGCGATAACTCGACATAGAAAATCACACGAGAGTGGTGTAGAGTCGTTCGGTAGTTTTTAACAATTTATTTTCTCTTCCAAGGTGAAAATCTCAAAATGACGAGTGGATATGACATCTGTTTTTCTAATTAAGTAATATTTTGCTTTCGAAAATGAACGAAAAATTTTACTTAAATTCCATTTGAGCCAATTATCTTTTTGTTGTCAACTTTCAAATTTATATTTTATAGTGAATACCAGTTATCACTTGTTAATTAAATAATACTTGTTTAAAAAAAAATCTAGATTGCATTTCCGTTTAAAGGGCGTGGAGAAAAAAGTTGTAGAAAAATTACCAAACAAGTCAAGTGAACTACACTTAAAGAAATAATTAGCTCTGTATTTGATGGAGTGGCCCAGATTTACTTGAGGGAAATAAACCAATTCGATAGAACAAAATTTAATATCTTTCACAAAAATTAAATTTAGAAGAATTTAGACTGAAGAATAGACTCTAGAAGAATTTAAACTGTTGTCAGGAAAAAATATAATCTATTGTACGACAATCATTTGGTCTGAGAGGACTCCATAGGTTTATACCACAGGAAGAATCCATTTGTCCCCAAGTAAATTGATTCAACACGACAGAAGATCTATTCAAAAAGCATTTTTAACGAACAATTTCACTTCACGATTTTCTAGATAATTTTCACCCAACTTTTCTCTCCGCGTGAAAATAACCATCAGCCGTTACCCTTCCTCCCTCGAGAGACCTCACTCTCCCAATGACCTCTAATTAACCCCCAATTAGGTGTCCTGAGTTCATCAGCCGACGATCCTTACGACCTGATGCGCCGCAGTCGTCTCCTAGAGCCGCGCTCCCGCGCCCGAAGTATATCCCCACACCGTCAACCCAACAGCCGCGACAGCCGGAGTCAGAGTGTCATCAGACCCACGAAAGAGCGCAAGATAAGTGGCGACGCGGTCTCCCGTTCGGAGTGGTTCGACACAGAGACCTACCCGGAGGAGCCGCCGCGAGGCGACTGGTTGGACGACAGCGTCAAAGTTGCCAAGAAGGCGAGAGGCTGGCAGGAGTCATCAGGCGCCTGCCGCAAGGACGACGACTGGAAGGACCCAGCATCGTCATCGAGCGCAGTCTCCGACTCCAGACGGAGCATCCTGGAGTGCAACGTGAACCCCTACCTCCTGGTGAAGAAGCAATCCAGAGACGAGGACGACTTGAGCGACGACTTGTCGGACAACGCTCTGGAGCTGGAGGAGAAGCCCTCGTCGAGCCTCTTCGACCCTTCAAAGGTGAAGTCCATCGAGCGAGTGCCAAATAGAGGAGCTGTTGCTGCCATCGGCGGACAGAGGATCCGGGTCTTCAACGAGCCCAGAGAGATCTCCGACGAGGACGACATCCCTCTCACCAGAATTCCCATACCAAAAGTATCGCCCAAGCGACCACCGAGGCGGCCCAAAGAAGCTAAGATCGTGGTCAAGAGCATCCTGAAGAGGGGCAGGTCTGAGGGAATGCGCAAGAGTGTTCTCTTCAATGTTAACAACGTCATCTTTGCGCCGGAAAAGTCGACTGACATGATGGCCACCATCAGGCGACTCAGCAAGATCAATTCCCCTGCGAAGGAGGAGGATATCGCGGCGGAGCAGCCGATAGTGCCCCAGGAGGTTCTCCCAGAGCGCCCGAAATTCATAACAATCCCGAATATCAGGGAGCCCAAACGTCTGGAGAAGCGGAACCATCAAGTTCACGAGGCGAGGATTGTTCCGGAGGTGAAGAATTATCCCGGCGTTGAGAGGAAAATTGATAGGGGCTCGGTGAAACGACCGGAAGTGCCGGCGAGGAACAAACGAATTTGTGAGAACGAGCGGAAAGATCGGGTGGAGAGTTGTGGAAATGATGCAGCGGGGACTGGAGGGGGAAGCGAGGAGATTGAACCCAGGCGGGACAGACTCGAGGATGATACCGATCTGGAGATCGAGATTGAGGAGCTCAAGGATCGAATGGCTGATATTCCGAGCGAAGACAGGGAGTTGATTGTCAAGGTCAATGGTGAGTAGATTATTGATAATGTTTAAGGATTTNTTTTTTTTTTTTTTTTTTTTTTTTTTTTTTTTTTTTTTTTTTTTTTTTTTTTTTTTTTTTTTTTTTTTTTTTTTTTTTTTTTTTTTTTTTTTTTTTTTTTTTTTTTTTTTTTTTTTTTTTTTTTTTTTTTTTTTTTTTTTTTTTTTTTTTTTTTTTTTTTTTTTTTTTTTTTTTTTTTTTTTTTTTTTTTTTTTTTTTTTTTTTTTTTTTTTTTTTTTTTTTTTTTTTTTTTTTTTTTTTTTTTTTTTTTTTTTTTTTTTTTTTTTTCTTAAGAAATGGAGTTGTTAACATTTTTTTTACAAAAGGGAAAGTTTTTCGGGGGAAACCGTCCCTTTGTAAACAGGCGAACTTTCGTTCACCTAAGAGACAAATATATATCGTAGTATTGTATCGAAATATATCGCAACTGCCTGACTGCTGTTCCTGAATTCCGATTGGTCAACGAGTCACACGAAGTTAGTCGCTAAAAATGCGGTATTTTCAAAGTTTTCGAACTCACAAATTGTTCTTTGCGTCACAGTAGTCAATTTTCGCATGTTTATCATGCGCAAAATTGATGAATTCTTCCTTCTACTTTCAGGTATCTCATTAATTTCAATTATTTCCATTTCAATTTTCTTGTGAATGACATGAATTTAATTCTCTTCTAGTTACTTCAGAATTAGAAGAGTTGTACAATCCTTGACCTACCAACAAAAAATCCCAGCACAAAGACAAGCCTCAGAAGGAAAAAAATACAAAAACTAGATTAAGATCAGAAACTTGCTCGGTAATTCTTTCACCAATCAAGCAAGACAATGAGTAAGTTAAATTCCGGAGATAATAATTTTCGGTGATTCATCAATTCGTTTGTACTCGCTACAATGGCCAAGTGTATGTCACGTACCTGATGGAGGCTTTGATGTTTCATATCTCCTTGAACTCTCGAAAAATAAAAAAATAAAAAATTGCAAGGATTGCAATCGAGGACAGCGGCTAGATGATTATAACCGTTATTCAGGTTTATAAATATCAGAGCTGGGCAATATTTCACGGAAAATACACAGAAATAGGATTCTTTCATAATTCCTTCTTATGCAATGCTTTTTGAAGTGATGACTCACAACTCATGATTTAAAAAAATAAAATGGCATTCACGATTTTTTGGAGAGCGAATTGAGTGGTATAATAGAGGTTTTTAATTTTCGTGAAAATAAAGTTATCGATAACGATAGATAACGCTGATGATGAAGATCAACGTGCTTTGATTAAAAAAAAAATTATTTAAAAATTTGTTTTAAAATTCCGAATAATTTAATTGAAAATTTATTTAAAAATTCACTCTTTAAAATTGTATTTCTAAAGTCCACGTGAACCGTTGAGAAAAAGAAATTTCTCCATCAAATTCTCTGACAGCTATTTTCTTCTCTCAATTACCCAGAAACATAAATTATTTATTCAAAAATTTTGACACTGACGATAATTTTTGTGTTAGACATACGATTTTTTTTTTTTTTAATTTTCCAGACTCATCTCGAAAAATTCATTTTCTTAAATAATATGAGACTGTCAATTGACCACAGACTCAACCAGAATGTTTTAATTCATATGAACTCCGTTAAGAATTTATTTAATATTTTAATCTAAAAAATTTAAGTAACGTTTGTACTACTTTAAATTCTTTGCTTCGCTACTGACATGTTAAATTTAAATGAAATTCGATTCAATGAAACCAACAATGAGTGAAGAAATGAGGAGAATAACGAATTGAAACCTGAGAGAAGTGATTGCACAATTTTTTTCAAACTCAAATCACCCCGAATGCCTGTAATCTCTTGAATAGAGACATAGACATATGGCCGACCATGACCTTATCTCAACTACTCAAAGCGGGACTCAATCGTTTGCTTTGGCAGATCGTTCAACACGTATAAAGTCGTTGCGACGCGTTTCAGGGTCGCCAACATCCATTCCCCCATTTTGCCCCCCTCCCCCTTGCTGTAACCTTTCTCCAACGCCCACACCCGCGTCAAGTCCTGGTTAAGTTTTTTTTTCTCGTTACTCTTGTTCTCTTTTCTTTGATTGAATTTACGGGGAGAATCTGTGCGAAAGGAGAATGCACAGAAATTCGAGGCATTGCGAATTATTATCTCGGGAGGAGAGGAAAAACATTTTGCAGAGTGGGGGAATGGAGATTGACTAATTGAGGGAAGGAGAGAATAGCGATTCGAAGGAGTAAACGCGTGTACCGTAGGGCAATTGAAGGCTAGTTGAGAAAAAATAGTCTGATTTCTGAGTGCATCGAGTGTTTCTCGCAATCTAAGGGAGATAGCAAAATTTTTGTCATGACCTTTTTTGTGGAGTGCATTGAGGGCTACAAAAAAGGTCATGACAAAAATTTTGCTATCTCCCTTAGATTTCCAGATATTCATTGGAAACTGGCCAATAGTCAAAATTAAGTTAAGGATATCCTATAGATTTAACCATTTTCAATTATTAAATTTGTTAATTAAATTACATGAGAAAAATTTGGAAAAAATCATGAATATTCAGCGTCATTCAAATTAACTTTTGCACAAAATAATTTTTTTATTTATAAATAAATACCTGAAATTTATGATTCTGAACAAATGATTTTTACGGTGGAAAATTGTTTGTTTGTAAATTATTTGTAATTTTCAAAAATTGCAATTTTTCAATTATTTTATCAATCTTTCTTCAATGTCAAATTAATAATTTTTTTTAGTTTTAGAAAACGTTTTCTAACTTATCTAAATTTGAATAATAAAATCATTGTAAAATGTCCGGAAACTCGGGGTCAAATGGGGCTGAAATGAAAGCTCTGTTGGGCTACAAAAGTATAAAAGCATTTCACTGGAGAAAAAATAACTGTTTCACCGATTGGCTACTGCACTGCGTGATCCATAATTTTATTACCAGGACTTTCTCACCTGCATATCCCCAATATTTCCCCTCCTCTGGTATTACAAACTCTCGAGGTGGTTTCATATTCAAATTTCATAATGAGATCCAAATGAAATCGAAAGGGGATGAATATGTAGAGTTGGAAAGTGTTTTACCTCCGTGGGAAAGGCACGAATCGATCTCAGAACAATGGTAGCATTGGATCCCTTATACGGAACTGACTCGCAGTACATTTATCGATACGATACATCGTGAATGCCAATCACGATTGAGGCAAGACAAGTCAACCGACTCAGGAAGAGCCGAATGATTGCGTATAGTTTCGTTTCTCTCTTTCTCTTGTTCTGTTCTGTACTGTCACACGTTTACTTTTATTTTCTGTTATTTATTCTGGGGATGGACTGTTGCTTCCGTGGGACGGGGGATTCTCCCCGGCGAATATCGACGCTAGGACATTGCGTGGAAAACAGGTGTCTTAAAAAAATTGTCATTTCGCTTCCGGTGGAATCGTGCTTCCTGCTGTCGTGAGGAGATTAGATAAAATTAGATGGCATGCGGGTAATTTTTTTTGCTTTGTGATCGTTTAAATTTCAGTTTTGGATTTTTTGCGTTCAACTCATTATGATCTACCTAAAAATCCGAAGATACAATTTTTAGATTCTGTAAATTTTCGCTGATGAATCGATGGAATTCAAACATTTTCGTTGAAAATGTAGATATTATTGAGCCCCATCGATCGACACTAATTAAAATTTAATTAATATACTAATTTTGGGAATTTTCGATTTTTTAAAAAAAGATAACTAAAAAAAATGTTCTGAATTAATTCAATTAACACAATTGATTGAAGAAAAAAATTAATTCAATTGAACAAGATAAAATGAAGTGAGTGACAGTTTTTGAAAAATTTATGAAAGAATTTCAATTCGAGTTCTGTAAAACCGTTTCACATCAAGATGAGAATCATCGTCCGGACGTGCACTTTCAAAATTTTCTTTTTTATTGTAATGAGATAGGAAAAAATTGTTGCACTTTTCCTCAGGAAGAATGCCTCGAGTGAACTTGAGTAAAATTCACAAAGACCCGTAAAACTCATAAATACAATGTTCCCACAAATTTTACGAACTGTGAATGCAGTACTCCATAAAACATGAGTTTTTTTATTTTATCTCTCCATTTGCTCCAACTCTACGCACAAATTAACGACTCGATGCTGCATTTTCTTTCTCAATTAGAGTTGTACAAGAGCGCTCGGCTGGCGCCCGAGTTGAGTAGATTCCAAAGCCACTGGGCATCCGTATGAAATTCATATATTTCGTTCGTTTTGTCACTTCGTTAGCCAATAAATTCCCTCAATCAAGAGGATGACGTTAGTTGTCGCAATCTTGTGCTCATTTTTTGCTTTTGCTCATTCATTTTCGTACGACAGAATGATAATTAATGACCCAGATTATTGAGTATTCAATACTGGGTGATTAGATTTAAAAACAATGACTTGAGAAAATTCACTGTGTAGCTATTCTGTTCGCTTTCGGTCTGACCTCCCAGCAGCCACACCTTCAAAACTCTCAGCAGGTGGCACTTCCTATTAATTTAGTATTCAATTTGTTGTCTAAAAATCATGTTCTGCATCGAATTAATAATTTCACCTCTCAATAATAGAACAATCTTCTATTGTGGTTGGAAAGTACAACTCTATCGATACAAAAAAAATTTTTAAGTATTAAACACTGAAGGATTTCCAGAAAACTCGATTATAGTTGACTTTTTTTTTTCAATTTAATGAGGACTTGGGTTTAAAAAAAAAAAAATACATAAAAGAAAAAATTGAAAATTAAGATGATTTGTACATTTTATGAAGTATAAAAAAAAATAGATAAGGCGCTTTCATGAAAAAATTCACGTATATTATCGCGAATCGAAAATGAAATCTCAACATGGTGGATATCTCGAACGAATGGCGAAAGTAAGGCGGGTTTCATGAGTTCAATCGTCTTGCGTCGAATTTTCATGAAGCCCGCCTAACAAACAAGAGAATTGAATACCATTTTATGAAACATGAGTGAACGAATCATAATTGTCCAAATCATTTAGGTCAGAGGAAAATAGAATAATTCTACTTTCTTAATATTGCGTTTACTAAGGTTTTCTTCGAACAAAGTTGATTAGAATTAATAGCTAGAATTATGAGATTATCTCACATTTTTGACGTTAAGGATAGGAGAATGTGAATGGAATATAGTGAAAATGATGATCGATTTTTTCACTTTGAACAAACAATATTGATATCCAAATACAAAATTTCTGATATGAATAAAAAGAAGCTGTGACTCAATATTCCAAATGAAGTTTTAATTTTTAATTTGGTGCTGAAAACACGAGATGACAATATTCTAAGCACGGAATTATATTGATGAGATGAACAACAGATTAATTGAATTACCGTGTGAACTAACTAAAAATTGATAACAGTGTGGGCACGCACTTTTACCAGAGTATCAACAAACATTGAATTCCGAAAATTCACACTCTAAAGTGTGTTCTAGAAGGAATTGAATTATAATTATGATTAAAATCTTATTCAGTGCGCATATAAATTAGAACATGAGCAAATCATTTATTGCAATATGAAAATTGAACCGCTGATGAATTGGGACGTATGATTCTCATCGATCGTATTGTTTTTTGCAATGAGAGTGATTATAAACAATTAATTGAAAAAGGAATTTCGAATTAATTTAGCTCAGAAATTCAAGAACTAGAGCTACTGTGAGAGTGAGTAACAGTTATCTGGTGCAATCAGAGTAATTTTCACTTCCAAAAATTTATATAAGACAGTGAGAATTCGAGGGAGTGTTTAGCAACAATGGTAAAAACGTTATCCTTACGCAATGCCCAGTTTTTCTCCCGGGCAAAATGCCAGCGGGAAGCTTATTTAAGAGTTCCCTCGGAATTAAGAAGAAAAAACAGGTGAATTTTCACGTTAGATAAATTGCCACAGTGTAATACATGCTAGCCGTGGGGGGATTTCGTGCACTTTCACCGGTTTTATCGGTACTCACCAACCTCGACGAAAACAACGAAATAAATGAAAGAAAAAAAACCTTCGAATAGAGAAAAAAAGTAGCTCGAGAAACCGATCGCTCTAGCGATAATCCGATCTCTTCTCATTTCAGTCTTTAGTCAAACTGGTGGTGTACGCCGTTAGCAAAGTGTATGGGGAGTCCCGTTGCCCGGAAATCTCGGGGGAAATTAATGCTCCGCTGGAGATATGGCTAAAGCGTGGGCCCCAACGATTATCTACCCTGTCTTGAGGTTTTGCTTTTTGTTTTTCCACAGTCGAAAACGTTTTGAAAGGTGGATTGGAACAGCTTGAAAATAGGAACGTGACCTCTTGGGGATTTTTAATTGTCGATGGAGAATTTTAGAGAGGCGGAGTTGATGAAGATTGAGACATTCGTAATTTCGTGATTTATGTCGGCATGAATTAGGGTAATTGTTGTTGTGACTTGAGTTGAGATTATTGTTAGGAGAATTTCATTGTGATGAAATTAAGGGATTTTATTTGTGAAATTGATATTTTTCCAAAAATCGATTTTTCGTTCAAAAAATTGTCAATAAAATGGAATTAGTAATGGCTCAAAAAATTGATAACAGTATGCTCTGGATTCTATCAAAATATGATGGGGATCGCACAATTCGTTGTTGAGTTACAGCACATTGTTTATGCCATTTGAAAGAGAAAATCAGGTTTTTCATGATTACTGAAAGAATCATCAGTAATAGCAATTAAATCAGGACTTGAAAAGTATATTTCAATGGTTAAAAAATGGTGAGAACAGCATCATTGATTATCAAGTTACACAATACCGTCATGAGCTTTTTACATCAAAATCTCCATCTCTATTAAACTCAGGTACCAGTCTATTATGTCGAATACTTATTCATATTGATTCATGGTCCCGACTAACTTCTGACAGAACCTGGGTTAAACTCTGGTTAAATTCTGAATAAACCCTAATTAAATCCCGTCTGTACACTGATTAAACCTCGATTGAACCTTGATTAAACCCGAACTAAAAACGAATTCGAATCTTGTGCGGGTCTGAATGTAGAATTATTTGACAGAACAAAATAATACGTAAAATTTCGATGACATTTCAATCGATGATAGTACTATGACATGAAAAAATAGAAGAAGAAAATAGTGAAATAAGAATTAAAAAAGAACCCATTCGGGAACAAATTGCTAATTTATTAGCAACAAAAACTGTACTCATTTATAAAAAATGCAATTAGACACTTGAAGCAACTTTCACAGCTAATAACTTGAAAAAGGAATTTAGAAAAAATCCGGAAGAATTCATACGCAATCCAACTGTCATTAGGAATGGGAATAGTTGACAATTTTCATTGCATTCCAACGAAAAAGAAGAAAACCCCCTAATCCTTCCATAATTCCACCCATAACACTCCATTACGTAATTCAAACACGTATTCAATTACACAATCGTAAGTTGGTCGAATTTATTCCTAGAATGATGAAACAAAGCGATTGTGGTCAATGACATAACGAAAATCCCGATTAATGCAGTCTAAACCGAATCAGGAAAAAATTGAAACATCCCCATCCGGATAATACCTGTGTGCTCAGCAATATTCCACGACTTTGGCTCCATTGACTTGTGTGAATAACCCCGAATATAATAGTAAACATAGTTCCCCCTGTCCCAGCATGGAAATTCGAGCTGCGTTAATTCAGTATAAACTCCCCCGGCTTCATCCGCCTCCGTGGTCACTGTGGTTTCCTCTTCCGTATACCTGAATCCCGAAGCGTGAGAGAAATCGCACAGCACCCGCCCATGCTTCAAGCACAAAGCCAACACAACGACAACTGTTGCGACTATTTTGTTGCGACTACTTTGAAAAACAACGACAAAATGGGAAATAAAAGAATTGAAGTTGCTTGGAATGTCCAGATGACAACGAAGCAACTGTGAGCCTGGGGAAAGGAGTAAAAACTCATTGTAGAAGTATGTCCATTCCGTTCCGCACGATTGATGTGCATTTTCCATTATTAAAAAGCGAAACTCGGTAATCATCATATTTGAAAAAATTATTTCAAAAAATTCATACGGGGATTCAATGTTTCTAACTGGAATTGTCAGTCATTGAGAATTTACAATAAATTTATAATTTGGAGACGCGCATTTCCGAGAAGAAACCAGGCGAAAAATAATACTTAAAGAACTTTTCGGGCGTCCGAGAAGGGGATTCTCGGAAGACGCGCAACTAGCGCGAGTTTTCTGTAGATCGGCGCAGTAGTTCTCTATATTCGCGGCTGGCGGCAGCAGCTCCGTACGGGGAGACGAGACTAGGCGGACACCCATCCAAGTACTAACCAGACCAAACGCTGTTCAACTTGAACAACCGCCGGGGGCGCAGGCTACCCCTGTGATCACTACTATCCCTATATGAATGTAACCGACTGTTTCAGATACAAATCGAAAGGCGGTTCTCACTCGTAGCCAGAGTGACCGCGCGGTAGCTCTAAAGCCGGAGCTGTCGGCCGCCAATATCCAGTATCTGGACACAATGCGACTGAGTCTTCGTCGAGCCAAAGATTCCCAAGCCTCCCCAGAGCCCCAAGCCAAGTCCCCCGCAGCCCTCCCAGAGCCTCCCCAGCCGAATCACCTCCCGGACCCTCCAGCAAAGCTCCCCGAGCTGTCCGAGAAGGAAGCAGAGCCTCCCCCGGAAGCCGCTCCCTCTCCAAACCTCCCCGAAGAGCATTTCCGGAGAATGCGTCCCACAACCTGGTCCCCACCCCCAGGAAAGCCCAAGCACATGGCCCGCGAGCGTGTGAGCGATCCAGGTCCCTTCGACCACAGTATCGTCATCTGTCCACCACCAAAAATAGCCTCGGAGCCTACAGACATTCAGTGCGCCAGCTGGAAGTCCTCAAACTTCTCCCTCTCAGACCCCCCAACTCCCTCGCGAATCGAGATAATCACCCCTAGGCCTTCAGACAACATCTGCAAGATAACAGTCAGCCCCAAGTCCACTCCCCTCGTCCATCGTCTCCAAGTTGGTGGCTCCGATCCCCCCAGAGGCTCCAGACGCACCTCCATCCTCATCAACGGCGACCAAAGCCCCGAAAGCGAGCCCAACAAGAATGATAACAAAGTCACAATCAGCGTTGGTGGAGAGGACAGTGTCTGCAATCCAACAGTCATCTCGGTCAACTCCGAGAGCTCTCCCATGATTCAGAACTCGATGGAGAACAGAACCCTGGTTATTCTGGACAACTACAAGGCCAACATTGTACTTGAGTCAACTAAAGAGACAAAATCAAAAGCTGAAGAGGTAATCCATGAGGACATCTCCATGAGCAATGAGGGAAGGACTAAAAAATGTGATCGACTGGCTCGTCAGGAGAAGACGAACGACGTGAATCAGGAGATGTCCAGGCCAAAGTGGCCCAGTTTATCGAAGGAATCGTTGATATCGAAGTTACTGGAGGATTCGTTGAGAAAGGCTCGTGAGAATGGGGAGATTTTGGATGAGAGCAGCGGTGAGGCCATCCTCAGGATTTTAAAGCAGAGTCTACTCAAGTCCAAGGACTACGAGAGCTCAGAGTCAACTCTGGAAGCTGATAATCCGTATTCAAGGTCACCGAGTAGAAATTCAGATGTTGATTTCATGTCCTCGAATTTGTTTCTGGAGGAGAATCCCTACGAGGTGATTAAGGAGCCGATTTACGAGGAGATACCGGACGAACCTCCACCACTGCCGCTCAGTCCTCCACCCACTGAGGACTACATCAAGGACAGGCTCTATTTTCCCGATGAGTATAAGGAGGTTTATTACAAGAAAGTTAACGCTGGAAAGTATCTGGGCTCCTATCTGTCTGATGATCTCTTCAAGAAGAGTCCTGAGGATGTCGAGGGAGACGGGGATGGTGATGGTGATGTGTATTTGTCTAAGAGCCCTGAAGAGTTCTTCAAGAAGGTGGCGACGGCGGCCGATGGGAATTTGTCGAAAAAATTTGAGCTACTCAACTTCTTGATGGACGCGAAGGAGACGTCAGTGCCCATCGAGGAGGATGAGCTGGAGGAGGACGACGAGGAGGATGTCGAGGACACTGAGGGGGATCTTGAGGCACTCTATGAGCAGAAGGAAACGAGCATGGGGGACTTGAGCTCGAAAAGCTCGCAGATTTCTAATGTCAGCGATAGCAGCGAAGAGTGCAATATTATTCTTACGAGTTCGCCTGAGGCTTCAAAGGTAATTAGATCATTATTTAGGAAGAATATATTCAAAAAAACATTATTGTATTCCATGTTATTGATTGCATAAAAGAATAGGTCCAGCACCGTTCGCCGAGAATTCATTTTGTCCAAGTTTTCGATTCGTCGAAAACTGGCGAAAGGTTTTCTTTTGATGTGTGATTAAAAAAAACTATACAAATCGCGAAGAATATTTAATTTACTGAATGCTTGTTACTCTTGCATCTGAAGTCAGTATTCTGAACAAGTGTTCTATTGCATGAAGCGACTTATGCTTTTGAAAATTTTTAGATTTTCGACGAATGGGTGTTAGACAAAATGTCATTCGACCAATGGTATTTCGACGAATTTCATTATTTTATTATATTTGAAATTTTATTTAACATTTCAAATATAATAAAATAATAAAATATAGGGGAAATGAACTATTAATGTATATCAGACAATGAGAATGTGCAGAATATACGATAAGGAGACTACAAAAATGTTATAATTTATCTAATTATACGCATTCTCCGCGAAGAAAGCCATTAACCATTTTTTTCTCCACGAACCATAGAAATATTTTCATTTTTATATTATCATTCAGACACGGACAGTGGATATCGAGAGAACAGACAGTGGCGTAGGCTCGGAGAGCAGTCAAGCGAGCAGTAGCCGGGGTATAGGTAGACGATGGAGAGCAGGAAATGCCACCTCCTCAGGACCATCGAGTCTTCTCGGTGGAATACCACAGGTCATATCCGGCGATGCGAAACTATGTGAAGACTGCGAACAGCGTTTAGAGCCACTAATAACCGACAGGTATAATAATTCATAATTATTTCCAGTAAATCAATCAAGTCTCAATAAAACTGACCATTTAGTCGTGGGGTATTATCGTTAAATCGTTAAAAAGAGGAGTGAAGTCAGACAATAATCGGACAGGTGGAGATGGATTTTGGAATGTAAAATCATTGTCTGCTACATTTAATGGCTTCTTAATGGAGCAGATCGCTGTCAGCTGACTTTTCCGGTTTACTTTCATATCGGTGGAAAGGCTTGGGGCCGTGCCGCTGCAGATTTGGCTTTGAAAGATCGCAAAACGTTTGAATGGCCAAAGTATATTGATTCTGAATTTAAGAATGGCCAAAGTGTCTTTTACAGTTTGGCACAGACCACACTAGATTCAAGCATTTTCAATCATCAAATCATGAATTATTTTTTTTGGCATTCGTTGTTTATGAATAAATAATTGAAATTGTTTAAACTTTCAGAAAAAAAAACGAAACATAATGTTTTCAAAAATCTTAAAAAGTACATGTCGTCACGGTGATTGGAGGATTTCTTCATGATCAATTCATAGAATCTTATGAAATTGGAACCGAACCTAGACCTCAATCGACGCTCTCGATTAAGCCTAACAAGAATTTAAATCATTAAGTAGTTTTTGACACATTCGTTTTCTCTTTTAGAAAATCGACGATTTTCCAACCTTGCAAAAGGGTTACAAGGACTCCCCAAGGGGGGACTAATATTAAACGAAGAATTAGTGTCCAAAAAATAATATTTTGCACGGATACCGAATTTTTTCATTTGACCAAATGAATAAAATAGAAAAATGAATAAAAATGAATGTTTATTCAGACGTCAAACTTAAAAAAAAAGAACCGATAATTGTTATTCTATACATTTTTTTATAAACGAACAATAAATAATTTTTTTGCGCTAATTCAACTGAATTTTTTTTACACGTCTATAATCGATATTTAACGGACTGAAGTATATTGTCAAAAATTATATTTGGTCGGAGGTAAATTATTAATTTGTTGGCCGAAAAGTCATTCACATGTGCCAATAACATATTAACGTCCCGTTTCAATTATTAACGAATAACTTCAACCATGATTGAGACTTAAACTCACTACTGTGATTTGATAAAGCTTTCGCTAAAGCGGAAAACCCGCACGAAAATGTAGTAGTGTGAGATGTCACCTAAAATAGAATCTGCAGACGGGTGAAAGTATTAACAAAATGAAATGTAAACGTGATACTTTTGCCTGAGGTATTGCAATCAGACGTCAAAGTCTCTTAAAATGCACGAACAAGTGGTGCTCCTTTTAAATACCGAATCGTTAAAAGTAAAATAGTAATCGGGTCGCATACGCCGTTTAGCATTTATTATCGGTTTTAATATATATCATGGTGATACTTGAACAGGTTGAGAAAGTCGGTAAATTTTTTTCCAGGCAAAAGACCAACTCCGACGTCGCGTTAATTGATAACGACATTAATTTATGAAACTAAATGATGGAAATTAAATTTTTTCAATGCTGCTTTTATTGAATTATTGCAGCGGCGTTGTTTACGCTCCATTTGTCTGTCGAAAGTGCTCGAAGAAGCGCGCGGAAAGAAAAGAAATAATAACGGAAATCGTTGAGACTGAGCAGAAATATGGAAGGGACTTGAGAATTATTCTCGAGGAATTTCATCGGCCGATGCTGCGCGCCGGACTTTTGACACCCGAACAGTTGTCGGCAATATTTCTGAATGTCGAGGAACTGCTTGAGCACAATCTCGTTTTGGCTGAGAAACTGAGGGAGGCGGTGGAGATGAGCCAGATGGCTGGTGATGAGGATCTGGTTGGCGTCGACGTGGGGAAATTCTTCCTCGAGTCTGAACGCATGCTGCACGCCTTCGAGAGCTACTGCACGAGACAGGGGGGTGCTAGTCTCCTCCTCCAGAATCTGGAGAAGGAGAAGGAGCTGCTAAGGATATTTCTCAAAGTCTCGCAGATGGAGAATACAGTATTGCGGAGAATGAACTTGAATTCGTTTCTGATGGTGCCTGTGCAGAGGGTCACCAAGTATCCACTGCTGCTCGCTCGTCTCCTCAAGGCCACACCCGTTGGTAGGGGGGATGTGCAGGAGGCGAGGAAGAGGCTACAACAGGCTCAGGCCAACATTGAATTACATCTGGAGCATATGAATGCAGTAAGTTGATGAAAATTGAAGTGGATTTCACCTAAAATTATTACAGCTCAATTCAGCATCTTGTGGACGCTCCTCACACGTAAAATTCGTCTAATTCTTAATTACTTCCTGATTTATTGAGTCTTTACAATGAAAGTGAAGAAGAAAAACATTATTGAAATATTTAATGATGAGTCTAATGTCGTCAAACAAAATTGCGGAATTCATTTGATATTCAATTATTGGAATGGAAATTCAAAGCCAGATGTTGTTAATAAATATTCTCCACAATTATGAAATAGTGTATTTCGATACGAGTGCGGAAAAGTGGTTTTTTACGTGTGGGAGGTGTGTAGCGCTCGCCGAAGACGAGTGCTGCCCTCCCACGGGTCAAAGAACACTTTTCCCACGAGTGTCGGACGCTATTTTTCATCACAATGCGTGTGAAGTGGGCTTTTGCGTGCGTAAAATGTCACTTTACACACTACGTGATGAAATAAACTATTTATTATACCCACTGTTTAATTCCGCTTATTTTTTATCGATTAATTGTGAAGAATTTTCCATGTGATGAATTGTCCGAGTGATGGAATGTCCGTATGATGAGGTGTCCATGTGATAATTTTTAGTGATGAATTGACCAATATCACAATACCAACAGATTATAAACATTTCATCATAATTACAATTCATCACTTTTACATTAGATTTTTCTGTTGTTATTATTAAACATGGAATATTTATTCAGGAAGCCAAAGATGTTACTTCAACAAAACTTTGGCGGCGAATTTCAATAATTCAAAATGGCAGGCGATCCAATGGAGAGCAAGACATGGTGAACATAAAATTGAGAAAAGTGAGGCCAATTAATTTTTTTTGTTGCTCCTCTTTGTTGGGGATTATTAATAATAATTTTCGGATTTAGATGGCTGTAGAGGTACTAGAATGGGCGCACGAGGAGGCGAGATTTGTCCTGGAGGGACGGCTTCTCGTTGCTCAGCCGACAGACAATAATTGGAAGAGAGGAAGGACTGTCAAACTCGCACCTGTCACTGCCATGCTTGTCACCAATGGGAAGGTGAGATTTTCCACAAATATTCATGTTTCATGATAAATTCAATTGAGAATTACCATCTGCTGTTGGATTGAATCAGAGAGGAACACAAAAAAATTAAAGGAGTAACACGTTTTCATTTTCTTTGCAGTCGAATACTGATTTCCTGGCTACCAACGATGATTCTCTGTTTCCGAGGCAAATTGGAATCAAAGAGGCGACGCTACTATTGGTCAAAGAAAAAATTGGACGGTATTCTCTTCTCCGAGTGAGTATTTCATGGAAAACACACTAGACTAGTTTCAAAAATATTTTCATGATTTCTTTAATAATGTTGTGAATTTTCAATTCTGCAGGAGCCATTGTACCTCGATAAATGCATCGTATGCTGTGAAACAGATCTTGAAGACTACTTTGAAATCCAAGAATTGTCTTCGAAGGAGACATTCATCTTTAAAGTAAGAGAAACTGTTTTGAGAGAATGAAAATTTACAGGCAAAGCACTAAAACCAATTGCTGAAGAAAAGAATGGAGTAACAATAGATTCAAATAAAAATTAATTGCGTGAGAACAATTTGAAAAAAATCATGAATATTCAGCATCATTAAAATTACGTTTTGCACAGAGTTATTATTTTTTTAAACATTCGTTTTTTATAAAGAAATTATTGAAATCGGTTAAACTTTCGGAAACCTCATTTTTTTAGGCATGAACTCGATTTCTGGTGAAATTCTGAATATGAATAAATTTTTTCCGATTTCGAATAAATGATTTTTACGGTGGACAATTGATTGTTTTCAAATTATTCATATAAAATGCTCGTAATTTTCGAAAATTGCAATTTTCAAATTATTTCATTAATCTTCATCCAAAAGTAAACTTCATAATTGTTTTTTCATATTTGAAAAATATTCTTTAACTTCAGATTTAAAAAATATTCTTCATTCTTGGAATCAAATGGGACTCAACCGAAAGCTCTGATATTCGACAACAAAAGTAGAAAAGCATTTCACGGGAGAAAAAAAAGTCAAAGCACTTATCTCACTATATCTTTGAAAAAATCGCTGAATTATGAATTTCAGAGCTTTCATTCGGCCCAAAAGCCAATGATGCATTAAAATTCAAAAATATTTCAGGCAGAGGATGGTGATCGAACAAAAAGATGGTGCAAGACCCTGCAAGCTCACGCGCAATCCCTGGGCGCTTGGCGAAGGCGGCGTGGAGCTCTCCCCAACATAATGATATGTGGCGTCGCCAGAAGTTGAGAGAGGCCCTTCCTCCAGGGTTTGCTAACCAAATAACGTTTTCCCCCCAACAACTGCCTCAGAAAAAAATCTGAGAAAGAGTCAACAAGAATTCCGAACAAAAAAAAAAATCCCCAAATCATGAACTCGAAACTGCGAGGGAATAGATCCCATTATAGTGCGTTGCAGAAACTTGAATTTCCTACGTAACTGTAAACAAATACCGAAAGATGATGCAGTGGTCGAAAAAAATAGTCCTTCTATTGTCCACTTGCTGAACAACAGTTATCGACGAGTTTCACGATGAATAGTACGTCCTTAATATATTACTCTAGTGCTAGAGCTTATTTAAAATTGAATAATCCTACAGAATACTTGGAAATACTTAAAAAAAATTGTGTAGCTGTGATATCGACCGGTCTTATTGGGTTTTATTTTTAACTTAGGTTCAATCGAATCGAATAATTAACTTCCAGACTCGACCTTTGTCCTCAAAGGCCAAATGCCAGAGGTGGGGTTCTCTAAAAACCGGGATAAATGGTTGTTTTTTTTTATTTCGTTGAGGGGAGACAGTTTTTAGAGTCGCGGGCTACTGGAGTGAGATCTCATGCATTGAAGATTGATTATACATGTGTAATAACGAAGATTACGTGCAAAAATTGAGTATTAAATCATTAATGTTGTTACGAATTTCCATTTTTTTCAATGCATTTTATTTTGCATACGTTCTTTGCTTTTTTCTAAGCATCTCCTTTGAAGTTCACATTATTCTTTTCTCTTTAGCATTTCTGTTATCTTCTTTGACGTTTCTTCTTCTTCTTTAACGCCTCCCAATTAATAAAAGCTGATAAAGTTTCTCTATTTTATTTCCCAAGTGCCCTTCAATATTTTTTACTGCAATTCTTTTTTTTCACTCCAATAGTTCATGACTTTAAAAATTCAGTCTGCTCTTAATTCAGAGAAGGAATGAAAGGTAATGAATTAACATCATTTTTAATTCGTTTGGCGATCTCAATCATGAGTGATCGTTTCACCACTTCATTACCAAATCATTCTCCTCTCTCTTCCCCCTCTTTTTGTGCCACAATATTATCCACCTAGAGATTTTCTGCATCACTATAAATTTGTACATTTCTATTTTTTATTCCAAATAATCAATTTTTTAATTTACAAAAAAAATGTACACAGTATTTAGTGGCCCAATACAACGATTCGATGATATTGGATTTCTATAAATTTTATTGAAAATTTTGGGGAGATTGTTTCTCATCCCATTGTACGATAATTTGTTGTTTCTAAATGTTAAGCCACCACTGTATATATTCACATTTGCACTGAATTATTATTATTCCTGGTCGATCTTATTCTGCAGGTTTTGTAACTCTGCGATATTCAAATAAAATGTGAGACAATCGTAATTCAATTCGGCTGTTTATTTATTTAAAGACATTTCCTGTGCTTGAGGGGGAGTGTCAACTCCACTTGTTAAATACATATCGTCTATTTCCTCGACTTGGATTTCTTTAGTGTGACATTTCGAAAGAACTTTCCGAGAGGCTCGGTAGTTGTAATCTTTTATTTCCGGGTGCTTCTCGAGGAGGTACTGGTAGGCTGATGCTAGTCTGTGCATGTCCTCGACGGTGAGCTCAATGGGCCTCATTGTGGGGTCCAAGTCTGAGAGCTTGAACATCATCAGGCCGAGGTCATTCTGATGTTCGTAGGGAAATAGTGTTCTGGAAGATTAGGTGAAGTGAATTTTGAGGGCTTTATTTTAGGGGCGGGTTCGCCCGGGATAAATACTTTTTCAGTTTCCGAGGAGAGAAGAGTTTTCGAGAAGAGTCTAGATTAATTCAAAATTTTCTAGAGAATTGAGCAATCATTTAGATAACTTTGGAATAAGTCTAGTTTTGAGAAATTCGTATAGAATACTCCAGAAGGTTCTAGGATTCTTACATCATTCTTTAAAGCGCTAAAACCCGTGATATGACTTAATTACAAATGTGTGAATTACAATTCTTCAAATATTTGCATAGAGCTTATATATATTGGTGGTCCGTTGCACTTGCGAATCTCATTTAGCCATATTCACGCATGTATTCTGCATTTGTAAACAAAAATTAACGTCAATCGATTGAGAGTTGCGTTATGACGACATTTTCGATGATTCCATCAATGAAAAAAATCAAAACCTAATTAATTCTAATTTGTCTACATTAAAACCGAAGTATTAAACTCATCAGCACAATAAATAAATGTCTCCTAAAGCGATCAGAGAACAGACCTAAAAAATCTAATTCCTGAAATTTTCATCGAAAGACCTTTCCTCCCCAAAAATGCAAACAAAATGAAATCTTACTTGACACACGCCAAGGAATATTTCTGCCTGAAGGAGAACAAATGCCTCGTCACCTTCTCAAAGAAACTGAACTCATGATCAGTCCTAGGGGTCTCGAGTGGATCAAACGTCACCACTCCAACATCGACATCGGGCTCAGGGATGAAAGCCCTCCCAGGAATAACGAACCTCAGTTTGGGTTTAGTCCAGGCCTGGGCCATCACCGATAACCGACACCTCTGCGCTCCACTTGGTGGGGCAACCAGCCTCTCTGCGACTTCCTTCTGAAAAGTCAGCAGCAGCCTGACCCTCCCCAAAGCCCAAGCCCCCCTTTTCTCTGAAATGTCATGCAGCCATCTGATGATGAGTGGAGTGGAAACATTGAACGGCAAATTTCCAATTATGTGTATCTTCGGGCTCTTGTCACTCCACTCGCGTTTGACCTCCTCAGAGAACACTTTACTAAAGTCGAATCCCATAATGTCATCGTAGAAGACGTTCATTTTACCGTTAACTGTGGAAAATGCCTCCGTCAACATCTCCAATGTTGGCTGAAATCTACAATGATTTCGTGAGGTTCTAATAATTCAAAAAGCGAGGAGATATTTCACAGAAAAACCTTACGAATGCGCTAGACAATTCTTTTGGCTCTAACGAGAAATGTTCAATGGAAAATATTTCATAGCAGAAATAAATAGAATTCAATTTTTCTACATAATTCATTCTACTGAGGTGTTTTTTTGTAGAAATTCCTCGGCTCAAATTTTGTAAAATTTTTTGCATCAACTTTTTTAATGAATAGAGGCGAAGAATAGATTGGAAAAAACTTGGACAATTCTCCAGATTGTCCTCATAAGACATTGATATGAATTAATATTATGTCCGGAGACAACTTAATTATTAAAGATTGATTATTTAAAGATTAATCTTTCATCTCAGTTAAATTTAATGAGTTAGTCCTTCTCAGGCTTGAAAATAAAAGGATTTTATTTTAAAAAAGAAAAAGTATTAGAATAACTGATAAAATGAATAATAATCCCACAATAATAACAAAGTAAATAACATGTATTTTTAATAAAAATGATTAATTTGATTTATTCAATTTTCTGTATTCTATATTCAATAATTATTGATGATGTAAAACATTCCATTTTGTGCCAAGAGCCTTAATTATATAATCTTCTTCATTTCTGTATAGTTCGGATCCTATTGGTGTTTCAATAAAATAAATAAATTCTAATAATCAAGTCGTTTGGAACCACGAAAATTATAATAAAGTCTGTTGATTAAAAATAACAGAATTCACATATGAAGTCAGCAGAATTAAAAGAAATTTCCGAAGTACGAGTGAATTATTCTACAAACCTCTTGTCCTTCTCAACTAATATAATTCTGTCCGGTAACTTTCTCATGATGGATCTGGTTATTCCACCAGGTCCAGGACCCACCTCCAACACCTGCCACCCCTGAAGATTACCCGCCTGTCGCACTATTTTATTCGTCAGCCTCTCGTCCATCAAGAAATTTTGGGCCAATTGTTTCTTGGCTTGGAGTCTGTACAGCTTTGTAAGGTCTCTAACCGATGGCAGAGGAGGTAATCTCAAACTCATTGCCATTATTTAATGAATTTGACGACTCTTAGCACAATTATTTAATATTGAATAAATTCCGAGAATTAAGTAAATTAAGTGAATGAACTAAGTTTAAATTGTAAAATTAATAATGGCTTCTCTAATTGGAATCAATGGGAACTAAGGTTCGTCTGAGATTGTCTCCGGCAGTTCGAAGTCGTCAAAGTAATTCTCCTGCTTAACAGCGTGAATTGTGTAGGAGTAGATCGAGAATGCAGCGACTCCCAGGACTAGACCGAGCGCGGTATTTGCTCTTTTCTGACGTTTTAATTTCTGAACTCTTTCCAGGTTTTGTTTCTCGGCTAGTTTCATCCAGTGGAGATCTGAGGTTGACAGTTTCGATGATTCCTTTGCCAGATCAACTTTGGGCATAGTCTCACCCTCCATGACTTGTAGATCTGTCGAAGTCAGGTTTTTTAAATCAATTTTTGTTTCCAAATGGAAGCTTTGTGATTGTAATTGTTGCTAATAAATAAGCAATGTGTTTCAGAATGGGTTCTCTTTTTTGAAATTCCTATTTCAGTATTCTCTTGTTCTATTTTTTCATGTCGTAGTACTATTATCAATTGATATGTCATCAAAATTTTGCGTATTATTTCGTTCTGTCGAATAATTGTACATTAAGACCCTCTCAAGACTCAAATTCGTTTTCAGTCCGGGTTTAATCAAGGTTCAATCGAGGTTTAATCAGTGTACAGCCGGGATTTAATCGGGGTTTATTCAGGATTTAGCCAGAGTTTAACCCAGGTTCTGTCAGAAGGTAGTCGGGACCATGAATCAATATGAATAAGTATTCAACATAATAGACTGGTACCTGAGTTTAATAGAGATAGAGATTTTGATATAAAAAGCTCATGACGGTATTGTGTAACTTGATAAGCAATGATGCTGTTCTCACCATTTTTCAACTTGATTAAGAAGCCATTGGAATATACTTTTCAAGCCCTGATTTAATTGCTATTACTGATGATTCTTTCTGTAATTATGAAAAACCCGATTTTCTCTTTCAAATCGCATAAACAATGTGCTGTAACTCAACAATGAATTGTGCGACCCGCAGCATATTCTGATAGAATCAAGAGGGTATTGTTATCAATTTTTTGAGCCATGACTAGTTCCATTTTGAAAACAATTTTTTGAGTGATCGTTGAAAAATCGATTTTTGAAAAAACATCAATCTTTTCGAATCTGTATAAACAATTGAATTTTAATTGGTGTCAATGAATAGAGCTTATTAAAGTCTATTTTCATGAAATTCAATTGATCCTTTATAAGAAAATTTACATACATACATACAGACGCCATCTAAAAAGCGCATATTCGGACTTTTAAGGCCAAATTTAGTTACCCTAACGCAAAAAATTGGAAACGCTTCAATTCAGAAGCAAAAAGGAGGGAAGTTGCAGCTAAAAAGCTGAAATTTTGTCACAGTTGCAATTATTTGGGAGAACTTCTGGGCTAAATTTCAGCTTAAACATACATGCGATGTCATATAATTTGTGAAATACATATCGAATTTTCTCAGCTGTATCAGGTGTAATCAAATGACCTTGATTATATCCGGTTAACTAGGATTGGACATTCATTACCTTGGGAGGGTCGAAAAACATGATTCTTCAGGCTCAACATTAACGCACGAACGGTCCCACTTAAATATTCTTGAATCATCATTTTGTTAATAATAAACAGTTGATGAAATCATTGCGACTTATGGTGAAAATGGAGCAGATTGAGGTTAGAATCTCAAGATTAGCCGATTGGAGGGTGCGTGAAGAGACTGATTGAACAGAACTCCACTTGACGACAAAATAAAATACGATCAATTGCCCGAGCGATTTTGTTTTGCAAATCAATACTTACCTGGAGAGTTTGGAAAACAAAATATCAACAATCACTGGTGGAACAACACTGCCATTTCTGGGTTCGACTGCGCAACAGAAAACTGCCGACCTGCGCATGCACTTTATGCACATGTGTTGAGTAACATGTCGCCATCTTTCTTTAATTAAAGGCAATCCCGGGAAAATTCAAAATAATAAAAATGGCCATTTTCCAGTAATTGTAGGAAAACGTCATTTTGAATTTTCTAAATACGAATGTAAAATGATCATCATGGTAACACCTCTATCCATCGCAGTATTGTGATGCTACTGGCCAATTGATCACTAAACATTATCACATGTACAACTCATCATACGGACATTCCGTCACTTGGACAATTCATCACATGGAAAATTCTTCACAATTAATCGATAAAAAATGAACGGAATTAAACAGTGGGTATAATAAATAGTGTATTTCATCACGCTGTGTGCAAAGTGACATTTTACGCACGCAAAGGCCCACTTCACACGCATTGTGATGAAAAATAGCGTCCGACACTCGTGGGAAAAGTGTTCTTTGACCCGTGGGAGGGCAGCACTCGTCTTCGGCGAGCGCTACACACCTCCCACACGTCAAAAACCACTTTATCGCACTCGTATCGAAATACACTATTTCATAATTGTGGAGAATATTTATCAACAACATCTGGCTTTGAATTTCCCTTCCAATAATTGAATATCAGATGAATTCCGCAATTTTGTTTGACGACATTAGACTCATCATTAAATATTTCAATAATGTTTTTTTTTCTTCACTTTCATTGTAAAGACTCAATAAATGAGGAAATAATTAAGAGTTAGACGAAATTCACAATTATGATAGGACCGCAGACTAATAGAAGAATAAATAAGGCTTTTGATTAAATATTCCAATCACGTTTTTTTTCACTCTCATTGTCAAGATGAATTTTACATGTGATGAGTTATCCATACGACGAAATTAACGGTGTTCGCCAATCCTATTATGAAATGCGATGATGAATTGTTCCGTTAATTAGTGGTAGACCCTATCACCGGCGAAAAATTCACTATTCGTCTCGCCCTTTTGCCCCGATCTAGGGTGACAAAGCCTAGAAATGGATTCCGCTCCACGATTACTTGACTTATTCGGTGATTTTTCACCAACGTTTTTTCCGTGTGATCCATTATCCTCAATCTCCGTATTTAATCTTGTGGTTGTCATCGGGGGTTGTTGTGCACCCTAGGACATTTAATAAACGCTCCCTTCTCTCTCTCGCTCCCAAAACAAAACGGAAAACAATTTCTCTTCTCCATTCTCGGTCTCCGGAATAACCCCAACATTGCATTACTATGCGGCGCTAAATACTATAGTCCATTGGCTCGCGTTAACGTAATTACTCTGATCCCCGGATTATTTACGGTGTGAAGAGTTAGACCTGAGTAATTCCATTTGGAACAGGCTTACAATGCATTCACTGTATTTTGTTCATCCGCGTCGAGGCGAAAATGGGCACACGTGGGTGAGAAAGAGAGAGGGCAGATGAGCTTTGTTTAATTCTAATCGATCGTTCGAGTATCCAAGTTGTGCGGCATTCATGAGAGCGGCTAGATACAGCGAAACGAGAGAGAGAGAGAGAGAGAGAGAGAGAGAGAGAGAGAGAGAGAGAGAGAGAATGCGAATGTGTGTGTGAGAGAACAATGGTCAGACGGATCAAAGAGAGAGGTGAGTGTCATTTAGGCACTCAATGATGCGTGGATTATGAAGATAGTTGCTGATAATTGGAGCGTGATGCCGTAGGCCAGAGTTATTGCCAGTTATACGGTAATATACCCCGGAAACTTGGTTTAGGCTCTGGCTCAGTGCTGGTTCAACTCTCTCTCTCTCTCTCTCTCTCTCTCTCTCTCTCTCGCTCTCTCTCTCTCTCTCTCGCTCTCTCTCTCTCTCGCTATATCTCTCGCTCGCTCGCTAATTCTCCCGGGTCCGTGCCGGCATTAGACGTAACTAAGTACTCGGCGGCACTCGCATGAGTGTTAGCTGCTCTTGCACGTGTGACGTGACAATTTCCAGGGAGGGGGGGGGGGGGAAATTGATATGAGATGATGGGAATCGTGGATGACTGGAAATATCAGCGTCTTGAAGAACGGCAGGCGATCAATGCAAGTTGGAAATTACTTTCGGCATAACATAGTTGAAACAATCAATTTTTCACTGTAAAAATCATTTGTTCGGAATCTTAAAAATTTATTCATATTCAGAATTTCATCAGAAACCGGTTTAATGCCTAAAAAACAACGTTTCCGAAAGTTTAAACAATTTCAGTTATTTATTTATAAACAACATGTGTAAAAAAATAATAGTTACACATTTTAACATGTTTAAAAAAATAATAGTTTTGGCAAAATGTAAAAATAACATATTCGAACTCGTGAGGCCAAAATTAGTTATTCTTACACGAGTGAGAAATTGAAAATTTCGGATTTGACGAATACAATGCTTCCATTTGGAAGCAATAATAATAATAATAATAGTAATAACAATAATAATAATAATTGATAATGATAATTTAACATAATAATTGTCTACACCCTCTTAAAAATTGTGCCTGAATCTGCGAGAGATAAAATTGTGTAAAATCGATCCAATTTAAATCCATAATTGCCAATAGAATTACCGATAGTATTCAAACAATGTACGGTTGAGCCATGTTTTTCCGAAAAATCATCTCTCTGTATTTCCAGGGATACAGCGGATTGCTGCCGAGCGGAAGAGTTACAATTGCATTTTTTTCCCCCGCTAAGCCCGGTTGTTAATCCTGTAACTCGATTTTTTTATTAGACTAGAAAACCTGCAGTCTCGTTGTTTGGGGATTTATCCTCGGGGGATTTACGAACGATGTGAAGGATTAATTGCAGGAACACGCCATTTCTAGTAGGGGAAAAAATATATATGTGGATGAATGCAGCTAAATGGACAGCAATGGGCTCGAGAATGGGGAATGTAAATGACAGATATTAAATATAGATTTTGACACTTTAATTTTTTCAGTTTTGTTTTTGGTTTAGTTGATGAGACTGATAGTGACAAGCGGTGGCAAAAAACAAGTGGGAAATTGCTCTTGTATTGCATATAGTGCAGTTATTTTTGCTAATAAATAAGCAATGTGCTTCCGAATGGTTATTTTGCACATCATTGTTTATTTCATTTTATTGAATTGAATAAGATTTCTTTTCAACTAATTTTGTCAGATTTTTCAACTTAGTTGAA